GGATCTATGAAGTTCGGATTCCTCCAGGTGGGTGTTGTTTGGTTCTGGCTGCTGCGCTCCACTTCTTTCTGCTGCAGGTGTTAGAATTGAACCCTTTGGCAAGGTGTTCTGCTCCTGAATCAGCTGGGTGGGTCTTGCCTCTAGGCTCTTTGCAGGGAGTTCTGCTGAAGGGTTCCATACTGGGCCTGCATGCAGCCTGGGTCAAATCAGGATCCGGGGCCCCGGGTTGTCTCACTCACTCCCCAGGCCTGCACTCTGGGTCTGTTCAGGATCCCGCGGCCTTGGTCGTCTCACTCACTCGCAGGGCCTGCGCTCTGGGTCTGTTCAGGATCCCGTGGCCTGGGTCTTCTCACTCACTCACCGGGCCTGCACTCTGGGTCTGTTCAGGATCCCGCTGGTCCCTGGGTCATTTCACTCACTCGCCGGGCCTGCACTCTCTAGAAGTCGTTTTCTACTTGGCAAATTTGCAGCTTTCCATTACTGTCAGCAACATGCTTCAGACACCAGTTTATAAAGAGAAAAGGATGAGTTTTGACTCATTAAATGACTAGGTCCCTGCTTGACTGTGCCACTGGCCCAAGAGCATGAACAGCACAGGTCCTGTGTTGGAGGCCATTAACTGGTATCTTTAGTCTGAACTTTATGAGGGTAGAGACTGTGTCTTGCTTCTTTGACACATATCCAGATCCTAAACTGGGTGACATAATAGTAGGGTAGTATATATTTGCTGAATGTTGACTCCCTCTGCATGGTATAGAGTTACGTTGTGCATGCTGTGATAAGCTAAGGGTTATTACACTTATTTTGAGTTCCATCAAAAAAAAGAAAAACTAAGGGCAAAAATAATCCCTGTCAGGGATGAGAAAGACCAATGTGAAAGGTGAGTTTCAGATTATATGAATTACTGAAAAATTCAGTTGGGTTGTCTTTGTTAAGAGGAGAATACTACCACAGAGGGGGTGAAGAAATTTTGAACTAAAAGCAGGAAACCTTAGGAGTAAGGTACTATTAATATGTGGAAATTCAGGAACCAAATAAACCTTGAAGCAAAGCTAGGGACTGAAAAGTGCAAAGTCCTGTGAAATGTGCCATAAGTTGGTGACCCAAGACAGCAGCTCTTGTCCTGAGTGCCAGATACTGGGTGTCCAAATGACCATGAAAAAGAAAAATCAAACAGAATTTGAGCAGTTATATTTGGAGCCCTGTTAAAGGAACCCTATTTGAGAAAGAGAAACTTCAATAGGAGACAGATATTTAGGGGAAAAATCTCAATTACCTCTTTGTCTCAATGGCAAGGTTTGGCCATTCTTCAAATGCAGATCTTGCATCTGATCAGCTGAACAGGAACAGATGATTAGACTTGGGAGGAATTATCCTTGTGAGATCAGCAGGTATCGGAGAGTTCATCATTTACAACTCAGTGGGAAGTACCTGCGTTGCAAACAGAAGCCCATTCAGGAAAGCAAATTAAAAGATTGATTTGGTGAGTGTATGGAATGTAAACTAAAAATGGACATGGTGCAGAAGTAGATCTTCAAGGGATTAGTTTATTCCAATGACACAATTCTCTCTGGCAGACCCCTCTTCCTGCATATACTCCTTGATTACTTAAGAAAGTCTATTAAGTATTTTGATCATATTATCAAAGTCTTTAGATTCTTTAGGGGAAGGACTTCTAGTTTGTTTTTTGGCTTTATCTCTTAACACCCATCAACCAACAAAAGTATGTAGTTTCTTTCATAATGAGAAAAGTGCGCTAGGACTTTAGAAACCAGCTTATAATATTACCTGCTCCATATAGAATCTCAATTAACCAAATGCCTTTGATTCATGCCTAGAAAGTTATTCTTGCTCCCTTGTCTCTCTTCTTACACTGTCTGTGAAAAGTCATCCACTTGTGTATTTTCATTCTGTTAATGGTCACCTGTCTGTACATCCAAAGTTGAACTCATGTTTGTCCTCTTCCAATCTTTTTCTCCAAATGGCAACTAACTTCTCTTTCTGTGGTCCCTAATGCTAAAAATTACAGCCACCTTCTAGTTGATCTACTTCAAAAGCTAAAAGTCACTTAACTCTTTCTTCTTCAACTCCCATAGCTAAGCCATAATAAATCTATTTACTCCAAAAATAAGCCTGAAAACCAGTCCCTTCACTCATTCCTTCTCCTCTACTCTAATTTCTTGTATGAACAACTGCAGCATTCACTTTACTGGCTTCTCTTGTTCTAGAATTCCTACTGTCTACTCATTCTAATAGAATTCTAATAGAAGGATCTTTCTAAATATAACTGTGTAACTCAACCCTCCCGTCTTTGTAATCATTAGTTCCTTATCCATTG